CCTAACCCTAACCCTAACCCTAACCCTAACCCTAACCCTAACCCTAACCCTAACCCTAACCCTAACCTGACAACCAATGCATCTAACCTGACAACCAATGCATCTAACCTGACAACCAATGCATCTAACCAACAATTCACACCTTCATCATGCTCCTCTTCCTTCAATCCACCTTGCTACAACCCATGCACACTCTCCTTGTACCCTTCTTCTGTCAAACTGCCCCTTTTCTCCACACCAAACTTTTACACCCACATCCCTCCAATTTCCCCACCCCTCTCTCATTTACTTGCCCTAACACCTCCTCACTTGCTTATCCATTGCCCATTCTCACTGCCCATCCCTGCACTGCTTTGCATCCCCCCACACTCTCTCATTTACTTGCACTAACTGCCCACCTTCACTTTGCTGCATCAAACTTTCATTGCTTCACTGCCCTGCTTTTCTACTTCCTCTCCTCTTTCTCCATTGCCCCCTCATTCACTGACTGACCCTCTCTCATTTACATGCACTAAGATCCCCCCTCATTCACTGACTGACCCTCTCTCCTCATAGCTCTCTCATTTACACGCACTAATATGCCCCTCATCAACTGACTGACCCTCTCTCCTCACAGCTCTCTCATTTACACCCACTAACATCCCCCTCATTCACTGACTGACCCTCTCTCCTCATAGCCCTCTCATTTACACGCACTAACATTCCCCCACTGACTGACCCTCTCTTCCCACAGCTCTCTCATCGACACCCACTCACATTCTCTCACTTCCTTTTTGCTTCTCTGCCACACTCTCATTAACACACACTAACATCACCTGAACCCTTTCTTCTTCACCCACCTCTCTTATTTACTTGCACTAACACACTCTCATTTACCAACTTGATTCCCTCTGCTTGCATACCCACTCTCAACTGCTTTCATGCTTCCAACTCTCTTATTTACTGACTCTTGATTCCTCAAATCTCTCTCATTTACTGACTCTTTCCTGCGCAATCCATAGCGCAAGACCCTCTTACTTACTGACTCTTTAAGTCCTCTATCCTTGTCTCAAACTTGTTCACCTACTGTCCCTAACTATCCTGCAAACACCTTCCTGCCACCAATGCTTGTTGCTTGACTGTTCTAGACTGCCTTGCATGCTCCACACCTGCTACACGTGCTCTGCATGCTCTGCCCGTTCAGCACTCTTACCAACTTGCTTCTTTGCTTCATCACTGCCCGTTGCCACCCTTGCAATCCATGTCATGCTCTCTCATTTTGGGATCAATTTTGATCTCACATACAGAAAGCGCACGCACGCATCTGTAAAGCAGTGTTTGGACCGTCAACTAACCCAGATGTACTGACAACTCAAGGGCCACAATGCTCTGCAACTGAGGCAAAAGGACACTACGGTGCTCTTCCTGGAACCGCTGGGCATGGGTACTTGAGCTCTGGTGACAACAGCAGCTTGCGTACGGCACTCTTTGGCGAGCACATTGTCTGGGCCATTTTTCAGCGTAAAATTAAAATTTTCAAGATGAGAGTCTGCAGACCTCTAGACGCATCTTTTTGGCGGGTTCCGCTCTAGTCTACGGCGTGAAAATCTCCAACTTAGACCATTAGAGTTCCCCTTTTTACCCCTTCATTGCCTACCAGATGTTCCCCCAAGTTCAGACTCAACGAGCCAACAAGCAAGCGTTTGTGATGGGCCGTCGGCGTGCTGCACGTGACGTGCGCGCGCGCGCACTCAATCCACGTTCTGATCGTGGGTGCTTGGTACGCACGCACTCCTCCTTCATCCCTCTCTCGCGTGACGCTCGGCACCTCGCCACTCGCTTCACTATACAGGTATAGACTTGGTCTCACAAAGCAGTCCACATTGATGTCTACGCACAGATCTGAGAGGCGTGGGCGGCAGCTTTGCTTTCATTGGATGCACATTTTCCCCTCGCACCACCTCATTTTGCCGTGATGGCGTCTTCGGCCACGATTCCTTCTTTCGGCCAGAGCCACCCAAAGATGTCCTCTCGGTCGCCGCATTGGAAGGATGTCACTGCAGAAATGAGAGAGATTTTTGAGTTGCGAGAATACACGGCGCGGGAATGCGCGCACACGCCGCGAGAATGCGCACACGCGCCACCACGCTACTCACACTCAACCCACATTTGCCTGCTGAGGGGACCGGCAGTCTGTCCATCTCCAAGCTCAATCTTCTTGATCTCGTTACCCGGTGCTTCTTCCCAGATCGGCAAAGCTTGCTCCGCAGCATCGGCCGCCTCGCCTTGCGCAAGCTCCTTGCGTACCGGTTTCTTGGTATTGTACGAGACGCTGCGTACGGGTGTGACGCCAGCAGCGGTCCCAGCAGCGAAGAACTCCGCAAAGCTGCCCTCTGCGAGTTCCGAGAATTTCACAGGTCGCCGCTCTACAGCCCATCCTAGGTGCTTGCTCGCGATGTCGACGACAGACAGCTTTGTGACGGATCTCAAGATGCTTGGCGACTCCGGAACAATCAAGCGAGTGGCGCCAGTGGAGGTCGAGATGCCGATCGCGTTCGAGGTGCTAAACTCGTCGATGTACGTGTGCTCTGCCGAATCCAAGTGGAGCGTGATTGGAAAGCCTCGCTTCTTGGCAGCAGCAGTAGGGCCAAAGACGGGTGCGTAGTTGCCTGGGCGAGGCGGGCGAAGCGAGGCGGACGGTGTCAGCGGGAGTGTTGGTGGATGATCCGCTCAGCCATGGCAACAATCGCTTTACTCGACAAGCAGCTTACGGCAACTTACCTCCGAGCTTGGTGTGACCCGTTCCCATGGGAGCCGATCTGTCAAATGTATCCAAGACAAATGCGTCTATCGCTGGCAGATTGCCTCCCGTGCCGTACCTTGTGACGGACATGGCACGCAACGTCAGGCGCGAAGTCAAGCGCGACGTGAGTACTGCAACGCAACACAGCGCAGCGCAGCGCCAACTCACAAGCTGCCAACGGGAGTGACCCAAACAACGAATGTAAACTCTTTGGGGGGATCGAGGATGAGGCTGGGCCCAGTTGCGAGCAACAGAGGTCGAATGTACAGGGCGCCTCCAGATGCGTTGCTAGCAGCGACGACGACGACGACGACAAGTCAGGCCTGTTGACTCGACGCCCACATCCACCCCACTCTTCCACTCACGGACCGTAGGGCGGCACGTAATCCAAATTTCCCGCCACCGCCTTGCGCAATGCGTCCAGAAACAAGGGCAAGGGAATAGTGGGCATGCTGGCGGTCTGAGCGCTCAAGTTGATGCGGTGCGCATTCGCATGAGGTCTAAAGATGTGCACGCTGCCGCTCTTGGTGCGAAACGCCTTGATGCCCTCGAAACACTGCTGGCCATAATTGAGCGCTGCGGATGCGCTGTGGATGTGAAGGTATGGCGAAGTGGACCATTCCGGCTCGCCCCACTTGCCATCCTTGTGCGTGACGACGACTTGGCCGTGGACGGGTCTATCGCCAAAGCCCAGCTTTGACCAGTCGATGGAAGGGGTGGGTGCTGTGGCAGGTCGAGGTGCTGCTGCTGCCATGTTGACGAGATGGAATGCGCGCGAAGGGAGACACGACGGCGATGTGGGCGAAAAGGCAGGATAGAGGGACGGCGAAACTGGCGCAGAAAGGAGGATAAAGACGGAGGAAACGCGCGCGAGGAACAGGATTCAGATGAAACCGCATGTCGAACGTCGCGCGGGGACGCGCTTTATACGTGCCGCCAAAAGATGCGCCAATCGTGAATAATCACGTGAATCTTGAATCGCTCGATCGGAACTCACTCTGACTCGTGACTCACAGTCTCGTGACTCAGACTCGAGCTTGGCAAAAACAAATCGCCGGAAGCGCCGGACCGCGCGCTACCGAGACGCAAAAAAGTCAAGGAGTCAAGACGCTCCCAAGAGTCGCGAGTCGCGGGCCGCGCGTGCCGAACGCCTCTCACGTGATTCTCTCGTCGTTGGATGTGCACGCACCATCTGCACGGGTATACGCACCCGCACTCTTTACTCGCACTCGCACTCGCACTCGCTTACCTCACTCGCAACCTCCACCCTCACCCTCACTCATATACCCACAACCCCACCTTGTTCACCCGCTCCCTCACCCGCAGCCGCGCTCGCACCCCCACCGCACCCCTATCCCCACGATGACCTCCGCCTTCAGCTCTCTGCTCGCCTTTGGAGGCTTTCCCGCTCCATCGTTCAGCAAGGCGACGGCAGCAGATGTCTACGTGCTGGCCGTGCTCATCTTCAAATACTTTCCCCTCATGACGCCTCTGGTGAAGCTGTTCAACGCGCCACACGGCAGATTTGCCGTGCTCCACTCCAAACTGAATCTGCCAGGAAATGCCGCTTGGCTAGCCATGGAGATTTGGTCGCCCCTCCTCTTTGCGCTCTCGGTCGCCAGTCCAGTGCTCTCCCACTCCAGCACCCAAGCCGTGCTCACCAACCTCGTGAGCCCAAGCTGGTCTCGCGTAGCATCGCTGCCCACCCCAAACCTCATTCTGGCCGCAGCATACATTGCGCACTACACGCATAGAGCCGTGCTGCAGCCGCTCAGGTCTCCTGCTCGGTCGCCCATTCACCTCTCCGTCGCCCTCTCGGCTACCGCCTTCAACCTGCTCAACGGCTTTGTGATGGGATCGTGGATCGGAGGGCGTTCGCCATCGATGCTGCTTCCGAGCAGCATTTTGAGCGTCTCTGCCTTGCTTCCTCGCAATCCCAGTCTGACGGGAGCCAAGGGAGCGGCCACTGCACCTCTTGCTTCTCCTGGCCTCTTGCCCGAGTCTGCGCTGTACAGCCCCTTGTTCTGGATGGGTGTGATCGGTTGGGCTGTGGGCTTTGCTGGCAACGTCTACCACGACGAGATCCTCATGGACATTCGAAGACCAAAGGCGGGCGAGGCAGACCCAGCGAGCAAGGCAGTGACTGCAAAGAAGAGCAGCAGCAGCAGCAGCAGCAGCGCGACGCCAAAGTACGAAATCCCCAACGGTGGGCTGTACAAGTACATTAGCTTTCCCAACTACCTCTGCGAGTGTGAGTGTTTGTTTGTCGCCTGGCACGCTGCTAATGGTCGGGATGCTGCTGACTTTGCGCCGACAGGGATCGAGTGGTCCTTTTACGCCCTCGGCGCCCTCTCCCTCTCTGCCATCTCTCCCCTTTCCCGCGCCAATACCTCCCCCCCTCTGGTCTGGTGGGCATACCCTTTGCTCTTGCTGAGCGCACCTCCCGCACTCTTTGTCCTCTCTGAAATCACCGCCATGCTGCCTCGCGCGCTCAACGGCCACGCTTGGTACCGCGCCAAGTTTGGCGTGCAGGGAGATGGCAAGGGTGGCAGGTACCCTGCAGAGCGCAAAGCCATCTTTCCTGGGCTCCTTTGAAGCGCGCCAGGCAGTCAGAAGGGTCGCGCCATCTTTCCGGGGGGCAATGCGCATCACGGCATCACGCACACGTAGAGTTAATGAGAATATCCATTGCAAGGTTCGCTCCGCGCCTCGTCACCTCTCTTCGGTCTCTGCTCGCGCACGGGCATGCGCTTCCCTTTCCTCTTCCTCCTCGACCACTTCAATGTCCAAAGGGAAGCGCAAGATGGCAGCGATGCCCGTCAGCCCATTCAGCGTCTTGCCGCTCTCGTGCAGACCGGACAAGATGACTGCCTCGCCGCCAGCCGATCTGACATCCTCCACTAGCTGCACAAACGTTTTGCGCCGCGCTGGATCGGGAGATCTAAAGAGTCCATCAGAGATCAGCAACGAGCCAATGGCGCCTCTTGAAGCTGCCAGCATGACGTGCTCTTCCCCGTACCACGCTCGAAGCTCATCCGACGCCAATGTCCGTTGAAACTTGTCCAGCAATTGACCTTCGCGGGCGAATTTGGTGTCTGACAGTTGCGAAGAGACCTGTCGCGCGCCCAGCACGCCGTGAGCACGCGCCAAGCAAGACACTCGAGACGGTTGCGCGCGCGCGCGCTTTTGCTCACCTCTGGCGTTCTGAGCACCTCCATCAAGCTGTGAATATGAGGACTGGCACAGGCCACCCTCAAAAACTTTCGTTTGACCTCGTTGCCCGTCAACAGCTTGTCGCCCCTCCTCGTCGCCTCGGCAAACAGATAGTCGTACACGGTATCCTTTGTGAAGCCGGGACTTGCGAGGATGATGAGGCGTATGGCCGGCAAGCCCAGCAGCCTCGTCACGGCAGTGTAGACCTGCTGATGGAACTTTAGCAAGGCCTTTTCGTGCGCTGAAGCTGCGAGCGATTTGTGCTTTCTGGGTAGCGCCACATCGATGCGCTGCCTGACCAGCGTCATCGAAGAGGTGAGCAAGCACACCACTGCCGTGCCTGGCAAGAGAGGAAGCAGTGACAGTGAGAGCCGTAAGAGCGGGCCAACCTCTCTCTGCCCCCCCACGCCAGCCACGCCCACCCTGCCCACTCACCTTCACCCATCACCACTGCACCCACTTCCGCTCGATTGTTGGCATCGCCCGCCTCTTGTAGCCGTTCGAGATGCACGCTATCCCAACTTTGCTTGTCTATGCCTACCGACCTGCCACATTCAATGTCGAGCGTATGAAAAGCGCCCATCTTGACGTGCCTGTTCTCCTCCGCCACTCTTCCGCTCACGCTAAGCGTCGCACCCTGACCAGACGAGCCACCGAGCGCCGATAATCCTGGCGCAGCATCGCCTGACGGAGTGGCTGTTCCTGAATTTGCCCCGCTACCGCCCGCACTCGCACCCGCACCCGCACCGCCCGCCACTGCTCCAGGATCTACGACGGCTGCGCTGCTGCCAGACGCATCGAATTGCAGCTTCTCCACCCTCAACGTCAGCGTCGTCCTGATCCGATGACTCTCGATGGATCCCGTATTGCTCTCCGATTGCACCCTCCGCACCGCTGCAGCCCGCACATTGTCGCCCACTTCGACGAGGTTGTACAGATGATACATGTCCTCGCTGGCATGCGCATGCGCAGTGTGCACTGTCAGCAGCTTGCGCCGTCTCAACGCATACACACACCCATCACCCCCCCTCCCCTCCCCCACTCACTCTTCCTCTGGCACGATGGTGACCCTGCCCGAGCCATCGCGCTCAATGTGTCGCGAAATCAACTTCATCGGGAGGCGTGAGAGAGATGGCGGTCGCGCAGCCGGTCGTGGGAGCGGGATACAAGAATGGATGTAGTCGTGAGTTCGCGAGCGGCGAGGCGGGCAGATTTGTGGGATTGATCGTATCGTATGCTCGACGGTGGGATGCTCGAGGGGTGGAGGCTCGAGGCTCAAACTCGCAGCGCGCGGCGGATGCATCTGGCTGTGCAACAAAAATCGGCGCGCGCACCCGGCCGCGCCCACGTGACTGTAGCGCACTCGTAATCGCGCGCCGCGTCAACGCCCCTTCCCATCACGCAACAGCTCATGTTCGCCAGGCCACACGCACACACGACTCGATCGATTTGTGCGCAAACAGATACACTACAACAAGCACCACCACCACCACCACCAGCAGCAGCAGCAGCAGCATCCAACTCAAGCGAAGCTCAAAATCCTTCCACCGCCGACGTGTTTGGGTCTGACGATGCGCTGAGCGACGAGCTGGTAGATGGCCTTTGTGGTCAAGCTCTCTCCGCTCTCATCCATGCCCTCCGCATTACCAGCACCACCACCCTTTACAAAGTTTTCCCTGCCGCTAGCAGCCCACCAATCGTTGGCATTGCTCTTGAGCGCCGACATGTCCAGAGCGTGTGGAGCAGGCGAGCTGAGCATGCTGCTCAGAATGTAGCAGGCGTGCATCGTCGTGGGCGTGGGTGCAGTGACGGACAGCGTGGCAGGCGCAGACGCGGTGCTCCCTGTTGCCGAAACCGATGTGCCCGTCGTTCCCGTCGCTACGCTATTGACGCTAGTGTCGCCACCACCGCCGCCGCCGCCGCCGGGCTGATGGCTCGAGACTACCGCCCGCGCGCCTCCGACCAGCGACTGCAGCAGCTTCAAAGTGACTGCAAATGGCGCGGACTCGGATTCCGGCTTTAGACACCTCAGCACATCGCCCATCGCCGTCCAAATGTTCTCCGTCACGCGCTCCAACTCATCCGAAGATTCCGGCTCTGCTCCAGAGATGCTTGCGTCGTCCAGATCCGCTCCCGATGCTGACATTGTCGAGTCTTGCTCATCCTGCGCGCGCACCGTCATGTCCACCTCGTCCGACGTTTCCATGACGCTGCTTTCGCTCCTGGATGCTGTCCTTTCTCCTCGTTCTGCTGTCGCTGTCGCCGTCGCCGTCTCTGCCGCTTTCGCACGAGCCTGCGCTTGACGTGTGCGAAGCAGTGCAGCGCGCTGACGCACACAGCAAAGCCGAGCGCGGTGCCACGCGGTCAGCGAAAAAGCTGAAAGCTTGCGTTCCTGCATCCGCAGCGCGAGCCTCACTCACCCTATCTTGCAGATCCTTGTGCATCTCTTGCAGGGCCATGACTTCCATCTCCTCCTTGTCGTGCTCCTCCTCCAACTTCACCAGCCTTTCGCGCGCTTCCTTTTCATTCTGCTCAGACGTCGATGCGCCGACAGCGTCGTTTGCTGGTGCTGCTGGTGGTGCGACCGCAGCTGGTGCTAGAACCGCAGCTTGCGCGCCTCCCTGCTTGCCAAGCTTGGTCAACCTATCCACCTCGACTTGCGCACGCTCCATCTCGCTCTTGAGCTTCTCTGCATTCGACACCAGCGACTTTCTGTGCTTCTCCAGCGCTTGAATGTGTTTTCGCGCGCGAGGAGCGTGATGATGATGCAGCTCCACCAGCTTCCTTGCAGCGTGGAGCAGCGATTTGGCGCTGTAGTTGCTGCGCTCAGAGGCCGTTGCGCGAAGAGGCGTGGGTGGAAGAAACTGCTTGGGCTCTGGCAGGCGCGGTACCAGCAGCTGAGTGGGGTCATCCGTCATCACAGTCGACGTCGACGTCGATGTCGACGCGACCGCGCTGTTCGATGCAGACGAGCGTGACCTGCCCGCCTTTTCTGCGTCAATCAGAGTGCCTGAGCGCGATGTGCCCGCCCTTTCGGCGCCAGTCAAAGCGCCTTCTCCTCCGCTGCTCACCAGCTCGGGCACGGGCGGATAAACAAAAAGCGCAGCATCGAGCGGATCGGCGTCGCGAATGTACCTCAGCACATCATGCCTTTCCAGATTGAGCACCGCCGAGGTGAAGGGCGTGGGACGTTTCTGGGAGGAGGCGTGAGAGGCGTGCAAGGAGGAAATGGCAGCCAGAGTGGACTGCAGCGTAGATAATTGAATGTCCATGGTGTGTGTGTGTGTGTGTGTGTGTGTGTGCGTGTGCGTTAGTGTGCGCGTGTATGCGTGTGTGTACGCGG